CTTCTCTCACACTTCTCACTTGTGGAACTCTTTTCTGGCTTCTTGCTTCCCAGTTGACTTTGATCTTCAAAAATTTAAATGCAATGTCAATCATTATCTTCTGTCTTTTTAATTCCTGTTCTTTTATTGTTCTTGCTCATTAATATTTTTTTTCTCATATTCTCTAATGCTCACTAACCCCTTGTGTGGTTTGCTTGGGGTGAAATGATTAATAAAAATGTTCTATTGAATAGATTTTTCCTGTGATAAGTAAGATTCTGCAGTATATTATTTAATACTATCTTGAAATGAATCACTGTATAAAATAAACTGATTCTTAATAATGTAATTGAGGGTTTCTTTCGTTTACAACAAACCTTGTCTAAACTTTGAGAAGATTCATTAACATTACAAGATTTATTATTAATTTATATATCAGTTGATGATAGTGTGTGTGAGGATAGCCTCCATTACAGTTCTCTTCCTTATGCTACCAATGTTAATATAGTATACTAAAAATACAAATATAATCAACACATACAGATAGTTAACAAAAGGTACCAATTGGCTTAAAACCAACATTGGAGGAAAAGGGGATGAAATATAAATGTAGGCCATCAACTGATTATGTATATGAATTTCTATAATAAATATATGAAATATTGATTAATTGATTTGTTTTTTTATGTCTTATCAACTTTTTGCAGGTTATACTAACCTAGAAAATATTTTTAGCTTGTAAGAATTTGGGGGTGGGGATAATAATGATTTACTGATAGAAACCCTACTAATTAACCCAGAGCTGTGGGTAGAAGAGGTAAATTCATACTTTTTCCAAGAGTATTTGCATGTAAGGGAATATAACAAACCCAACTCGAATTGGAACTCAGCTCTCTGATTTTCAATTCTGAAGCGTTACCTATTACCCACCTGTACATCTAAGTTTACAGCATATAGTATTCCCAAGTGGTCATTCATTTAGGTACTGACCAGGCTTGACTTTGGTGATCGTACAAGAAACAGTGTTTCAATGTAATATGGCTGTAAGACATTATATATAAAATAAAAATATATATATATATATATATATATATATATATATATATATATATATATAAGTAATGAAAATCTTGGTAATCTGTATGGATAATCCCAAAGAGGATGAAATCCAGAGAGTTCAATGTTAAATCAGAGCGAATAATTTAATTTAAAGAAAACCAGACAACTTTAAGGTTCCATGGTTATAATTGATTTCTCCAGAGAGTTTCTTTTTCCCACTTCCATG